CGAGCCATCTGAAAGGCCCGAACTGCGGTCAGATTCTTCAGCATGTCTTTCAGCATGATCATGTAAACTCTGACAAAGAGCATCTGCAATGACACTGCGGTTCATTGCTTGCGGTTCCTGGTCCGAAAACGGGGCCGGTGTCGGCTCTTTCTCGCAACATGTTGAGCGAAGGTGCTAACGTCACAGATGTAATTTGAGCCGGACCCTAGATATGAGAGTAAGTAAGCTGTCAACAGTCAAGAGCTCATAACATGATGGTATGCATGTCGTGTCTTGTTAAGCACTGCAGCAATCGGCAAAGTCACTTGTTCCCGAATTTCTGGAAAAAAAACAGGAATATGCACAGGAAACTTACGTTCCACGGCGAGGTTCCACAAATCACGAAGATCAGCCTGTACTTGGGCTGAAGGAAATGCACACTTGTTGATGGTATGCGCCCGTGCAAGAATGCCACGGACGAGCTTCCGGAGGAGCAGACACATGGCTGGGTAGGTCCTTGGCTTGGCACGAGCGATTGTACCCAATAACTCGCCAGGTACGTCAAGCGAAAAGCCAACGAAATCAAAAGCTGGCTCATCTTAGAGTACGATGTTGCCACCATAAAAATGGTTGCTGAGGAACAATCGGACACCAGGAAGTGTCGCGAATCTTTCTTCAGAAATTACAGGCGATTGTCCACATACCGTAAACAAAGTAGGCCTCGGTTGATGTTGGAAAAGGATTGCGAAAAAGTGCGACGCCAAATCTCCGCTTGAGCAGAGATGACCATCGGAGAGCCATGTATCTGCACGAACCCTCTCCCTGCAACAGCGAATACCTGTAATTGCAAAGAATCGAAAATAGTAGTAGGTATGTCTTCGGAGTGGATGCAAACCTGCTTAGTGGCTCTTTGTCTCCTTCGTCCTCGAAACACACGAGAAGCTTGTTGCTGCTCTTTGAGATCCACTGTGTAGACTGTATGTTGTCGGTAGAACTGTCTGGTGATCATCCAGGCACGCTGGACCTGGGCACTTGAAATGCTTGTGAAGAAACCACTGAGGTCCTGGTTTCGGCAACGCATAGCTTCCGGAGACGGATGCTGAAAGGAAGTCTGGACCTCATTGGTGACATTGGGGAAAAGCCAGCTGAGTGAGGCGATGCAAAAGTCGAGCTGTGGCCTCAAGTAAAGGTCTCCCAAAGGCATCAATGAAAGGGACGATGGACGTCCCGATGCAAATTGTTTCCTCCTCTTGGGAAGAATGTGTGCTGTAGGGGTGCGGAATTGTCGCCTGAAGGCCCAAGGATATCGTCGGCCTAGTGCCTTCTTGGGTTGTTGATCGAACAACTCACCAGGCTCCTTAAAGATGTCGGGGTTTTCGAAGGTTCCGGAAAGGGCCTGGTGGTACAGACATGGGCAATAACCAGATGGCTGGTTTTGTTGTGGTTCTGATGCTTCTGATTGCTTCAGCTCGATCATCACTTTGATGTTGAGCATATGAATGTGCAAAGACCTGCTTGAGGCCTTGAGGCCTTCAGGTGGTCCATGTAGGTCATTGGCTCGGTACCAGTTTTGCCAACTGTGGCTGAATTGCTCAAACATCTGTTCAGCATCAGGAAAATAAGGCGTTTGCCGCTTGCCATAGAACCATTGAGAATGTCCTTTGCCACAATGCTGAAAGCTGAAGTGGTGAAATCTTCAGCCGTGGCAGCAATGTGTCCTTGAAACACCGGGCATCAGGTGCCAATTGTCGCAGTTGCTCACAACAGCAGCGTGGTGGGTTCTTGCCAGCCCATGCGCGGAGGGCATCTTTGTGATTCAAGAGGAGCTGGGAAACATGAGGATGCTTCGCGAAAGAAGCACTGGTTTTTGGAACATGAAAGGGCGTGACAGCCCTAATGCTTTGAGTAATGTAAGCGCGCATACAGGCGCGAAGTTCAGGCCGCATGCCTGCCTAGGGGACCCAAAACCCTTCAACTCAAAAGCAAATGAATTTGCGCGTACAGCTTGCGGTGACATGTACGCAGGCAGATGCTTGGCCATGCGATGCAAGGCGCACAAGGCAGGAGAAGAAAAACTCAGAGCTGCGAAGTCTCTTACTGGCCTCAAAAGGCACTGCAGTTTTGCTGCCAAGCTGGGTCAAATGGACCCACGTGGCCTCACAGGTGCGAAAGGCGGGAGTGTCGGAAAATTGCGTTCAAGGGTAAAGGCAGTCCGTGCGAGGACTATGCGCACAAAAGTTGTCTGCGTCGCTTGCGCAGAACCCGCTAAAAACCTATATGCCTGGCCTGAAGTGCGCTGGGTGGCCTGATGATGCCCTTTTTGCGGCAAAACCACTGAGCAATGAAAGGAAAATTGAGCGGTGGCTGAAGGGTCTGAATCAAGCGCAGAGGAAATGGGAACAGCGTACCCACTGGCAGAAAGTCGAGTCCCTGGCCTGGTACCTCAGGCAAAGTTCGGCAGAAACAAGCTTGTCCTGCACAACCGGCTTGAATTTCCGATACCTAGCAGCTTCGCGGGAGGAGGTGTGCCCTTCAGTGCTGCCCACAGAATAGAGTTTGCCATAGCGCTTACGATGGCAGAAGCCCAAGTAAAGAACAGATTCGCGGCAAACTTGTGCAAAAGTGGGGAACCCCGGCTGGATTCCCATAGCTCTGAAGACACCCTTCAGCACATGCAAATCTGAAAGACTTGTGCGTACTTCATCCAGCGCCAGGCGAGCAATGCAGAATTGTACAAGTCGGAAAACTTGAAAGTCAAAATGCAAAATGTCTGGTGCCAACGTCTGCAAAATTTGGCGAAGGGATTGGGCAGCACGGCGGGTTTCTTGATGTGCTGCTGCCTGACACGACCACGTGGAAGTGTCTGGAGTCACCTCTCCATGTAAGAGGCTACCGCCATAATCCTCGCAAGGGCGGTTTTCTGCAAAATTGAAATGACACTTACAGGAACACCGCAAACCACACCGATGCGACGCATTTTGGATGTGAGGGTTTTGTCCTCGTCATCCAATGTGCTGACATAATGTTCAACATCGGTGATCCATTCATCAAGTTCGGCTTTCTTACGGTCGTTAATGGCAAGATTGGAGATCCAGGAACGAAGTTCTTTGTCCTGAAACTTGGCAGGCAAATTATTCACAAGCCAAGTGGACCCCTCCGGTGGGGGCTTCATGACACTGTCAGGCTGAGGAGGTTGCGGCAAAGTTCCGTGTTCGTCGGGCTGAAGGACAAAGGCAATTGTCGAAGTGGGTTGCCGGGAGTTCTTTCTGCTGAAACTTATGTTGCAATTCACCAAGCTGATGCTCAAATTCCCGAATTCGGTCATGTGACTCGGCATCAGTTTGCACTGGAACGCTCTTTTGGAGCTCAGCAACAAGATGCTGAGCTAAAGCCTAAGTCGGATGTTCTTGGCCTGAGAACCTTGATTCTGAACTGCCAGGTTAATGGCAGCGTCATCGATGTCAACATTGTGGTGACGAATTTGAGCGAGAAGCTCACCGACGAGTACCATCTCAGGCTTGGTGCGGGCGTCACAATAATATGCTTCTTTGACATGTGCAATCCATCTTAACCAATAGCTGTTCCAGTTCTGACACAAGAACATGGAACGGTGCAGTGACCTGACCTCCAAGCTTGCAAGACCTCGTTCTTTTGCCCAGGCTGGGTCCTGGTGTGGCAGGTGGTGCTAGGCAGGAAGCGTTCCGGCTGCTGATGTGTGGCCTGCTGCAGTGGGGCAGAAAGCAAACGGCAATCGCTAGACCCGGGCCCGACAGGTGCACGTGGAGGGCCAGGCTCTCGAGCACGCTGTGGACGCGCCTGGGCCAGACTGCGAGTTCTGCTGTCTTGGCGCGTCCGGGGGCGCCTGTGCACGCGCCTTTGTCTGCCTTTGTCCCTGGAATCCGATGCCTCTGGCATGTGAGGAAGAACGACGTCATGGAGTGCTGAGATGATCCAGAAGGGTAGATGTGACACTGCTGCATGTTCGAAGATGGCACACACACGGACACTCACTCACCAGCGCTACATGCTTGAGTCCCCCCGATGGACGTGCTGCTGCATACAGACGCTTGCTAAGGTTTTCTCCATGACAGAGATCGTTCATCGCTTGCTGCTCGTGACGGGCGCATTGCTCCGGCTGTGGATCGAAAATCTCCAGCTTCATGAAGCTTTACGTAGCTTCGCCAATATCAACATTGACTGCTGTCATAGTTCAGCAGTAAAGCAAGCCTTCAACAGAATGTTTCCACCGACACCCTTCTGCGTGCACAGGCAATCGCTGGGACAGCTCACTCGCGTCAGTGCGCATGCTTGACCTCATCACGAGGCTGGGCCAAGTGGCATTCATCTCCAGAAATCTACAGTCCAGGTCGGGATGCTTCGTTGGTTTCGCCCAGCCTCCACGTCTTCTAAGCAGAATCGCAGATAATCGCAGACACGCGCACGAGTTCGACTGCTGGCTGCTGCCTGCTCCCAGGGGTCAGGGGTCGAAGAGCGAAAAGAAGCCTATGGAGCTCAGATCCATGTTGGTGCCGGGCCAGGCAAAAGGAGTCGAAGGACTTCGAGCACCGGTGATGAATTTGCTGTCGCGTAGACTCATGTCAATCAGCGGTTCGGCATTAGCAAGGGTTCCGGCGGTCCAGCTTTGCGACAACTTCCTTTGCCTAAACACATGAGCAAAGCACAAGAACAAAGCCAGGTTCGACTGCTGGCTTTGTAGTTGCTTGTTTGTTGTTCACCTTCGTCTTTTGTTTCTTGTTTACCTCCCGGCTGTCGCTGTATATTTGTCTCTTTGGCGGTCCTTCGTCGCCTTGTCGCTTTATTGGCTTCTTGCGGTCAGTCGCCCTTACTTTGTGCCGCTTTTGGGACAGTCTGCTGGCATCAAGTTGTTGTGGACCTGACGGCACCTGCCCCGACCCCGAACCAAGAAAAAAGTTGCTGTCCCAGGTGACTTGCAAGAAGCAGCTTAACGGGCTTAGTGCAAAGACTGCTGGCCGAGAGTGCTTGAAAGCTCGGGGCCCCACAAGTTCTCGAAGGGATGCAACGTGCTTGAGAACCTCCAGAGGAGCACAAGACTTAGCCTGAAACCCTTCCTCCAAGGAATTTGTTCACGTTTGTTCCGGCAAGAGAAAGGCACCTGGTTCAAGTCTGGAAGTGTTTGCCCACGCGCCTTCGTCAGTTCACATCTGAAACCAACTGGGTAAATCTTGCCCTTTCGACGCTGCACTATGGCATGACTCTTCACCATCCCAAATCTGTGACACTGGCAAACCACTTCGAGTCCTCGTCATCATGATGGGCAAAATGGGCAATTCGTTGAAGAAGGCGTGACAACTCCGATACCTCGAAAGAAGCGCACAAGTGGAAAAGAGAAACGTACGAACGTGTGTCCCCACCCATTTGGGAGCAGACTCGCTCCGAGGCTCCGCCGGCATCCGGTCGCTGTACCCGAAGAAGACTGGCGCCAAAAGGGCCGCGCAAAGCGGCTCCAAAGCTTTGCATCACACCAAGATCAGCTGTTACTCGCTTGCAGCATCTTGACTCAGCCCGTCCTGGGTGTAATGACTCTGCTTACAAGGAGTGTCCCGACAGCGTTTTGCGCCGCCAAAATCCCGAACTTCACCTGCACACCATGTCGATGTCAAATCCTATCGGTTCAACTACCGAGCATGTGCAACAGTCGTCCCTCGCCTCGGCTGCCGCGTAGATCAGATGGCAAACAGATGCAAGCGATGGATGCACCAAAGCCTGGACGAAGGGCATCGATTGGCTACTGCAAGGATTTGTGGGTGGCTGCTCGTCGACCAAAGGCCGGCCGGGCACTGGTGCAACGGTATGCAACTGGTGCAAGACTCACTGCCACAGCATGCTGGGCCTGTCCAACTCGCAGGCTGTGGATCATGCTCTTCAGGAAGCTCTCCACTGCCACATGCCTCTGGGAGAAGTGCTACAGCAACAGACACTTCAAAAGCGGGACCACTGCTTGGACTACTATTTCCTAGCTTCTGCACTTTTGTCAAATTACACCCCCATCCCCACTTCAAGAAAGTGAACCCAGTTCTTGCTTGGTCTTAGCCCGCAGGCAAAGGGATGAAAACGACTTTGCGGCCCTCAAGTGGACTGTGTGAACCTTGAGATCCCAAAGTGTAGGTGGCCAGTGCGCGATTTGCTCCTTTTGCGTCTGACTAGCCTCTACGAGTTTTCAACAATGCTTCAAGCCAAGATGCATGGAGGAAGACGTCCCCGAGGATGTGGGTGAAGGCTTCATGGCCTCCACCTCCTGACACATTTCGATCTTGAACTGAAACCTCTAGTCTATGCCACGAGACTCCATCTCCACATTGACCCGCCCAGAACATGCCTGTCTGCAGTGCCCTTGCCCCTGGAGCCTTCACGAGCATTGATGTCTCCTTCTCCATGAAGGAACTGCGCAGGGAATTGTCAACTTTGCATCGCAGTGCGGCCGGGGCCGAAAGCACGGACGACAAAAGAATGTACCACTTCGTCCTTTCCTTTTCTCCGCAGGTTCTAGCTGGGCGGAGGAGCCCTGGGACCAACGCCATTCGCCTGCCCATGAACCCTGTCGGCCCTTTCGAGCATGGAACTGCGAGGGCGCTTTAACAAGAAACGTACTCGGGACAGCCTGAATCTGCATCATCTTGGCAAAGGCGTGATAGTCCTCAGTGCTAACATGTCACCAGTCAACATCTAGAATCTAGTCTCGGGCCACGACAGTTTTGTCAAGAAGGCTTTTGAATGGCTTCCACTCAGCATGCCCTGCTTCCTGACAGATATCACGCTGACCGTCTGGAAACACAACATGTTTGACGGTTGGAAATTAATTCAAATTGGAATCTGATGTTGCTGCCACTGGGCCTGAACGGAAGCCAAAGCAGCCAGAAAGTCTGCTTCACTAGCACCCTGAAACTGCAGGAAAGCCTCGCACTGACCGCAACTCAGTCTACAGGTCTACAAGCGCCAGCTGTGCTGCGATGCTCTTCTCTACCTCCACGTGACGATCCAACAGTGAGATGAAGTCGTGGTGCACCACCGTGTACCTACTCTCCGTGCTTTCGACCAAAAGCTGGAAGCTCAAACATGCAGTCACTCAGCAGCTGACTCCAGTCTATGCTCATCGCCTTGAAATGCGATCGGCACGCAGATTACAACAATTGGAACCGCCGCAACAGGCATCACCTCTGGTCTTTGGCCCGAGTGCTGCACAGTCCGCAAGCTCCGCGAACTGCATGCAGTGCTCAGCGATGAAGGCCTACACTTTACATCAGAACAAATGCCCTGTGAACACATGCACGCATTCTAGTTCTGCGAGCCAGTTGAGAAGTCAAGCTTAGCTTCTGGAGTCATCTGTCAGTATTCACAGACGGGCGATGAAAACTCGCGTGAAACTTTCGACTTCTAATTCACCTTCATTCCTGAAGCGCAGCCGTGCAACCGCAGCCGCGAACACCAATCGACGGAAGAAGACATGAAGCACGGCATGAGAAAGGAACGGCCCTGGCACATGCTCGACAGAAATGTGCAAACGCACATACACAGAGACAGACACAGACAGAGACAGACGCACAGTCAGAAGCAGTTGCGGAACATGGTTGACGCTTCACGTTTCGGCCCCTGCTGCGACCGATCCACCAGTCGACCTTCGCCGCCTGGACCCCGGACCCTGTGATCTTCCTCACCCTATATGGGCCGTCAGCAGGTCGAGTTTTTGAGCAGGGCATGCATCCCGCCATCGTCAGCGGCAGCCAATTGACAATGCACGACATCGACATCATCTACTGCGTGCGGCTGCGTCACCCTGCCCATCCCGCTCTCGAAGTGGAAAATGTTGAACATGTTGTTTCTGCCACGCAGCACGAAGACATGTCTGGCATGCTACGCATCACCACTTTTGCACGCCCCGTATCTCGAGAAAACCACAGACTGTTATCCCTTTGCATTGCAAGTTCGCGTCTTCTCTCCACAAACGTCAAGGCAAGGCCACCATCGGCAGCCACGACTTGATGCAGCTCCAGCTCGAACTGAGATGGTCAAATGCGACTTTCACTGCCCAGGGCAGAGTTGCTTTGTTTTTGATGAGGTCATGCCACCGATCAACACCCCCTACTCACAAGCTCGCTGAAACACCAAATCGCGCGCAATCCAGGTCACACGAAAAGCTTAAGGGTCACCTTGTGGCCAGCATCTTCGGCTATTGGAACCTCCGGACCTCCGGACTATGTTTTTTTTGCTTACGGTCGGCTGGCAAAAGCTAGAACATGGGAGAAAGAACTAAATGAGTCCTAGGCGCACCCGGAAACACAGCCAGAGCCCGGTGTTACCGCGGCGTAGCTCTAGACTCTTGACCATGAGACCCGGAGCCTGGAATTTGCGGGGCCCTGTGATGGAAAAAGCTGGCCCAGGCTTGATACCCTCGAAGCCCAAAGAAGCATGTAGCAATGTAGGTCCTGAGACCCGGCACAATCGAGCAGATGTTTTTTCCTGAGTGGAGGAATGATATGACAATATCTGATATCTAGCTATTTCTAGCTCCCGTGCTCGTGAAGAAGTTTGCACTGGGATAAACAAACGGGTTTTTAAGATCAGGCCGATTCAATCTAGAAGCCACAGATTCTGCACTGGCATTGAGTCAAGCCTGGACTGACTCCATAACGTGCGGGCACTTCTTCACGTACTGAAGAAAGGCCGCCGAAAGCTCAAGAGCCCTGGCCTGTTTGCAGGCATTCGCACGAGCATCGCGACAGCTGAACATCACACCTTGCTACCGATGTTCATGAACCTCAAGAAGAGGGAGACTTGCGTTTTTTCATGGTGCCTCTTCGTGTGCATCGACTTCTGCCATGGCACAGCCTAGTCGCCCCTGGTGTCTCAGTTCTGAAGTCTGAGGTGCCGAGAGGCGCTGCGGCTTGGGCATTGGGCACATCGGGTTTGGTTGAGCTCGGCATGGAACAGTTGTAAATCGGCTTGGGGAGTCCTTATAGAGCTGCGACAAAGCTGAAAAGGATGATTCGCAGCGCTATGAGTGAGCTATGGGGCCGCCATGTGTCTGCATGACAGCTTTGAGCCACAAGTGCATGATGCCCAACTCTCACGTGCAAATTGCGGTCAACTCTTAGCTCGAGAAATCGCACCTGCCACTGAGCCTCATAAGAGCCTGGACCTGGAATCACAAAGTCTGGTCCGTCTGGTAAGGTATCCTTCACGAATCTCAAACTTGCCAGACTTGCCAGGGCCGTATGCAGACCATTGGCCGACACCAGCAGCGACGGAACTTGAGTCCGTTGCACCTGCCGATGCGAATGCGATGCATACTTAGAAATTCCAACCCATCATCTGGGTCACGCACATCATCCTCAACAACAGCCCTGTGCAGAAGACAGACGCGAAAGTATGCCAGCCCCATCCAACGCTACTGTCAGGTCTTGCGCCTGGCGAGCTGCCCCGCCGTGTCGCCAATAGGGGCTGCCTGTCAGGAGCGGTATGCCGAGCTATGTGATGATGGGCGGGGCAGAGATAGCAAACACAGCAACTTGTGCGCACCACTCGGAGCGCTCTCAACAGCAGCTCTTGTCGCTCGCCGCCTTCTTGGGTAGAAGCTGTTCGGAAGGAAGTATGACATAAAACGCGGTTGGCTAACATGTCTGCACGAAAGTCTTGAAGGCTCTGATTCGAAGTCCAGCAAGTAGGCACTCCAGCACCGATCGTTTCGTGTTGGGTTTTAGGTGCAAGGGGCAGTTAGTGAGCGAAACCTGCAAGATGAGCTCCACAACTTGAACGGTTGTCCTCGCTACCGAAAGGTGGCGGCTTCTGTATGTTTGCTTATACTGCGGTGCGTCGACGGAACGGTATTCTTTGTCCTAACGCTGGCAGTGACCCCGTGTCCTTTGCTAACGTTGGCTTGCTCTCTGGTTGCAAACACTGTAAACTGCGGCATTCGCTCCTGTTTTGCATCTAGCTGTTGGGAAATTATAGTTTGCAGGGTCCTGTTTTGCCCCAAGCAAAAGGGGGATTGCAATTTCGAGGTTCCTGTCTTCTGTCAAGCTATATTTGGGCATTACAATCGGCAGGGTCTTGTTTTGCGTCAAGCTATCGGGGAATTGCAATTTGCAAGGTCCTGTTCTGCCCCAAGCCATTGAGGGATTACAAGTTCTAGGCTGTTGTCTTGTCAAAACATTGAGGAATTACAATTTGCAGGGTCTTGCTTTGTGTCAAGCTATTGGGCAATTACAATTTGACAGGTTCTGTTTGGCCCAAGCTATTTGGGGATTACAATTTCGAGGCTCCTGTCCTGGGAATCGCAATTTGCAGGGTCGTGCTGGGCGTCAAGCTATTGGGGAATTGTGATGTATAAGGTCTTGTTTGGCCCCAAGCTATTGTGAGATTACAACTAGCCGGGGCCATTCCGGTTCGTCACATTTTTTTAACACGCCAAATCATTTCTCGATTCCGATTCATCATTGAATCATACATCTTGAACAGGCCCCTTCATGTGGCGACTCCGGTTCATCACATATATCTTAAGCACGCCCCCTCCTTTGGTGAACATGCTCCCCTCCCCCCATTGGGCGATTTTGGTTCATCATAGTTCTTAAACACCCCCCCCCCCCTCATTTGGCGATCCACGTTCATCATACATCTTGAACACGCCCCTTCAGGTGGCGATTCCGGTTCGTCATATATCTTCAACACGCCTCTTTTTATAGCGTTTCCGGTTCATCATAAAATATCTGAACAAGCCTTCCTCCCCCGATTGGGCGGGACGGGTTCATCATATATATAGGCGATACAAGTTCATCACACATCTTAGACACGCCCCCTCATTTGGCGATTCAGGTTCATCACTTATATTAAACACGCCCCCTCATCATATATTGTGCACACGCCCCCTATTTTTCCAATTCCGATTCTGCACTTTGCTAAACTGCGCTAAGCCCGCCCCCAACTTTTCACGGACCTGCTAAAAAAGAGAACGGGGGGGGGGGGCGCAGCCCCCTCGTCCTCCAAGGGCAGCCACACAATGTCTGTCTGTATCGGGTTCTGAAAGGGTCCTACATATGGCTGCGCCCCGGTGCCCCCATGGTTCAGTTTGACAATTTTTTGGGCATAACGATTTTCTGTTTCCCCCTCCCCTGCCTTGGTGGAACGGGACATCCTTCCTTCTCCTGCGGCCATGTGTTTACCCCCTCCCCCCCTTGTGCAACGGGACATCCTTCCTTCTCCTGCGGCCCTGGCTCAACTTCTTTACAATCAGTGAGGCATAGCGCCTTTTTGTTTCCCCCCTCCCCCCTTGTGGAACGGGACATGCTTCCTTCTCTTTATATAGAATTAGAAAGGCATAACGATATATGTTTCCCCCCCTTGTGGAACGGGACATCCTTCCTTCTCCTGCGGCCCTGGTTCAACTTATATACAGTTATATAGGCGTAACGATATATGTTTCCCCCCTCCCCCCTGGTGGAACGGGACATCCTTCCTTCTCCTGCGGCTGTGGTTCAGTTTATAAACAAGTATATAGGCATGACGATATATGTTTCCCCTCTCCCCCCTGGTGGAACGGGACATCCTTCCTCCTCCTGTGGCCCCGCGCCTGTGGTTCTTCTGCATCCCTTCTCAAGCCTGAAACCCTTGTACAACTAATCATACGAATTATTGTAGCTTAGAACCGCTTCGAACACAAATAGCCATACCTATGACGGTCTTACAGTAATACTAATCATTCGAGCTAGCACCAAGAATCATACTAAGTATTGCCTTTAACCCTCCTACACTACTACTAATCATATTGCGAGGTAACATAATCATTGTAAATATTGTCCATACCCCTCTTAATTAGGGGCGTGGAGCGCGGAGGGGCGCGGACGGGCGCGGGGCGAGGGGTGCGGAGCAGGGCAGGGCAGGGCACGCGGGGCAAGCGGGCGGCTGCTCGGCTTAAGTCTTTGTATTTGAGACCCATACCATTGGGGGGCGGGGGGAGGGAGATTAACCCCCTTTACAACCAGAATGCCCACTTTACAACCAGAATCCCTACTTTACAACCGCGGACACTGTTTTCGATGTGAGAATCCCCACTTTACAACTGTCGATCCTCAGAACGCCCACTTTGCAACCCGTCTGCATGTCTGTATACGACAGCACCAAACCAAGACAAAGATACGAAGTATTGCCCAGGATGTCCTCTCTACGACAACACACGCCCGCTACAAACCAAGATAAAGATATGAAGCACTGCTCAGGATGTCCTGTCTACGACAACACACATAACCGTTCAAGCCAAGATAATGATACATGCGTGTGTGTGTGTAAACAAATAATTAAATAAATATATATATATACAAATTATGTATACACACACGCATATATATATATGTGTGTGTGTGTATATGTATATATATATATACATATGTCTCGGATTCGGTTTAAGAACGCCCACATTGCAACCAGCAAGACTTTCCAACCTGCATGGTCGCTGTAAAGGATGATGCTGGAGGTTCCAGGCTTTGACGTTGTCAGTTAGTACACTTGTTAAGAAGCGTTCGCAACCGGT